AAAATGTTTATAAAAACCTTTCTTTTGAAAATTTTTAGTAAGTTTATATTTATACGCTTATAAACAACTTGTTTTAAACCTTTATTATTACTTTATACTTTTACGCTTATAAAAAGCTTTCTTTTGAACATTTATTACAAGNAAGTTTATACTTTTACGCTTACAAAAAGCTTTCTTTTGAACATTTATTACAAGTTTATATTTCAACGCTTATAACCAATGTTCCTTTTCGATTATATTACGCTTACTTTCAAGTGTTTTATAAACAAAAAATCAACGTTTGTAAGCTTAATGTTAATAATTGAAAACTTAAAAATAACTTTCTTTAAGTTTATATTGCTTGTTGGGTAATAGGAGCGCAGCAATACATACATACATACATATGTATGTTTGTACATACCCAACAAGCAATATAAACTTTAAGAAAGTTATTTTTAAGTTTTCAATTATAAACATTAAGCTTACAAAACGNGTAAGCTTAATGTTAATAATTGAAAACTTAAAAATAACTTTCTTTAAGTTTATATTGCTTGTTGGGTAATAGGAGCGCAGCAATACATACATACATACATATGTATGTTTGTACATACCCAACAAGCAATATAAACTTTAAGAAAGTTATTTTTAAGTTTTCAATTATAAACATTAAGCTTACAAAACGTTGATTTTTATAAGCATAAAAGTGTAAACCTATAAGAAAGGTGCAAAACAAGTTGTTTATAAGCGTATAAATATAAACTTACTAAAAATTTTCAAAAGAAAGGTTTTTATAAACATTTTTATAAACCTTTATTTAAAGATATTTCCTTAAAAACTCATACATAGATTGCTTAACATCTAGAAACTAAAAGAAATGCGAATTCTCGGCGGACTCATCTACAGTCGCGAAATATAAATAGTGAATAGACATTTCAGCATACAAATTCACGATAACACAAAAATTAAGCATAAAAAAGTTAATTATTACATCTTGTTGCGTGCTTTCAATTGCATGCGGTTATTGACAAATTGGAAAAACGACATCGATGCAGCTATATATTCCGCTTCATCGCCGCCATTCTCATTGATGAACCATTCTGAAAAAAATTTAATACATTTTTAATTGAATGTTAAACTAAGAAAGGATAAGGAGAACTCATCATTTGAAGACTCGAATGCTCCACCGATTAGCGCAGCAGGCCCTGGATTGGATTTTTTTTACCGCATAGGTTTTATTTAATTTTTTCTTTTAATAATATATTTTAAAAAACGTAAACACGTCACTTACGATTGAAAAAATGTTATATTTACTACTTCATGTCGTTGGTATTTGCATTTCATTTATAATTTCAAGTTATTTATAAATATTCGCTCTCAAAACTTATTAAAGGTTTATTTGAAAAAACTTTTAATATGCTTAATATTAAAAATGCTTATTTAACGCTTATTATAGCAAAATTACTTTAAGTTATTTTTAAAAACATTTACTGAAATGCTTGTTGGGTATGTGCATAAAAAAATACTTTTGGATATTCATACAAAAAATTGTCATTTATTTCAATTCAATTTATTTTCACCTTGTTTGAATATTGTAATGCCGACACAAATATCAGAACAGCTATTCACTCAAATTCAAAAAAATTTGAAGCCAAAATCATTCGTGCGTTTTGTATATGAATAATTCATAAGCCGTTTTGAATGCATTCATGCAGCCCTCTAATACCTACATATGTATATATAAAACTTTTAAATATACAATGTTATTTGAGCAATTGTTAAGTTTCAGTTTGTCACTATTTTCAGGACACCGTGTGGATAAAGTTGAAGAGACATCGTCAAAGCGATTTACTACGAAGTCCACTCTGAATATAAAGCCGAATTCTGAAGATGACTATACGGAATACACATGCCAAGCAAAACACAAAGCGTTGCCCCCAGATATGCCGATGCGTTCAACTGTCCAGCTGTCAGTTCTTTGTAAGTAATTAAACTAAAAGTGGGATTTGTTATTGTTATTGTGTCTTATTATATTTTTATTTCACCAGTCTTGTTGAGCTTTCCACCATGATTTAAATTTTTTGAAAATGGAAAAAGCTATAAAGTCTAAGCCAGAGGTTCCCAAACTTTTTTTCATAAATTTACTGGTTTCGGTGGACCCCCTGCTGCTACATCTCTAAATATTCCCAAAGCTCGTAAAAAATTAAATGTGAAAATTAGATCTAACAATGTAAATTTGCATCGCGGGTGAATTCAAAAACTAAACTCAGAGTGGCCAAAATAAAAGTAAAATATTTTCTTCTGTTCTATTTATAAAAATAATGTGATAACACACTTGTAGGTTTTAAAAAATAGAGCATGCAAATACATCAAAATAGCACTGCGAGCGCTAGCCATATACATATGTAATACTTTTATATTGGCAGTAAGCTAACTTCTCAATGTGTAAGCATTCCGAAATCAAAGCGAGACAGTCTAGTACCGTTTTTGTCAATGTATTGTGTACTTGCGTGCCGTTTTTGTATATGTGTTGTGTACATGTTTATTTATAAAAGTATGCGTTCCTTTTCTTTCGTACGTGTTTATTGATATATCTGTACTGTAGTGTTTTCGGACGGTACTAGCTCTTACTGCCAATATAGGAGTATTACATATATGGCGCTAGCTATGTATATTTACATTATCTTCACCATAAACTCATCAAATGTTCGGCTCACTCATGACTTTGCACGTGAAGTATATGTTAAATAGTTTATTTGTGTTAATGGCATTTTATTTTTGTCGCTCCGAGTTTTAAAATGAGGCGAAAAATATTTTTTCCCGTTTTTAAAATACAAAACTTAAAACATCAAAACGGCTAAGCTTTTTACGCCAATTTTTTCAGAAGCTGACAATAGAGAAAAGAACAAGTTAAAAAAAAATCGATGACAAATAACCAAGCAAGCAAGAAGCACAAAAAGTGTTCCACCGTCTCATCTTCTTCAAGGCAAGATGGGCAAATTACGCCTATCACAATCAGGTGTTTGTGCCACGTGAAGTGACCAGTCAGCAGTCCAGCAAGTTGTCTGCAGTGTAGTCTGCTCAGTGAGAGCAAAATATTAGATAGACCTTGTGAGATTGAAGGCAACATGAGTTTTGCCCCCTCGATGCCTCTCAGTCAGTTCTGAGCGAAGTATTCACCCAGTTTCTGATGGTGGCTTCGATTGCCGAAGGAGGGAGTGCTAAAACTGGTTGCGGACCGAGGAATGCCTGGTCTGAGCCAACTCTGGCCAAATGATCAGATGTCTCATAGCCAGGTACTCCAGAGGGACCTGGCACCCAGAGTAAAACAACCTCGTTATGTTCACCATCATTTTTTAGTCGAGACTTGCATTGCCGAACTAGTTTGGAAGTACATAAATAGAGGGCTGGTCAATGCCTTAAGTGCAGCTTGGTTATCACTGCAGTCACGTAAACTCCTTCCCCTCCACCTATGTTCCACCACGTAGTCCATGGCTTTGAGTATTGCAATTACCTCAGCCTGGAAGACCGAAGCATATTCCCCTACAGGAAAGTGGATCTTATCTCCATTAACCTCGAAAAAGACCCCAGATCATGACCCAGAGTCAGTTTTGGAATCAAACCAGCATTCAGTCTCAGGGTACTATCCTGTAGCATTGATAAGACGCAAGTGCTTAAATCTCTTCCGCCAGCAATTTTCGCGGCGACCCACTCATTGTCATACCAGCGTCCGGTTCTTTTTAGTCTGCAGGTGGCCTCTAAGGCTTCCCCACGTATGAAAACACAAAGTGACGGTAAGTGCAGCAGTGCGTCAAGAGCACTATACACCACTCAAAAAAATTAAATTTAATTAAAAAGGCTATCAAGCAATCATTTTGGTTCTTTACATCGAAACCAGATAAATTTTCATGGACCCCCATTTACAACTCATGGACCACCATATTTTGTTCGCTTCACCGTGGACCCCCGTCGAATCTTCCGCGGACCCCTGGGGCCCACCTGGACCACTTTGGGAATCACTGGTCTAAGCGGTAGAAGTTATAGCTGCTATTTTGGAGATCAGAACATCAAATCAACAGACTTCAGCAGGAATCGAACACGCATCATCGATATGCAAAGTCAGCAACGCTAACCACTGAGCTAATTATGCACACCCCGTAAACACTTCTTGTTAATTCTGCCTAAAACTATACAATAATTCCAATTATTGTATAGAATTAATAATAAAAACCACCACGTCAAGCGGTGAATCAGCAGATGTGGTGATCTCTGAAATAGCAGCTATAACTTCTACTGCTTAGACTTTGTCGCTTTTTCTATTTGTATTGAAAGCTATGCAGCTTCAATAAGTTAAATTACACTATGTAACACTCATTTAAGGCCATACGTTAATATGTATTCATGCATAGTAGATTCGAATACAAATTCATTACATCACATGATATTAAAGGTAAAGCAAAAGTAAATCTTATCTTATGACAGCTGTAGTGAAATTTTGAGATTTTTTTTCGTCAGCCATTTTAACCTCTTAACTCCTACCATGATACTCTGTGAAAAAGGTTTAGTTTTATTACCAAGATTGACTGGCTAACCAGAATATAGTACCACAGCCACAAGCTATTTCGCTAGCAGTTTAGAGCATTTGGAATATTTTAACTTTTTACAGCTCTTGCTACATACCACAGCCTCACCATTCTGGTTAGCCAGTTATTCATAATTAAGGATGAAACAATACCATGCAGGTATCGATACTTTTACGTAGAAGTAGTATCGTAAGAAAGTATCGCTACCCGAAAACTATCAGATCTAAAGTACCGATACCTACTTGTACTATCTACTTGTATAGATACTTTTGGCTAGAAAGGTATTTCGAATGAACTGATATACATTTTATGTTTTACATAACAAAATTATAGCATTTTCAGTTTAAATGAAACCATTTTCAAATTACGTGAAACCTTTTTCAAATTAAATGAAATCTTTTTCAGATTCAATGAACCTTTATTCAAATTAAAAGAAACTTCCTTTTAACAATGTTTCATTTAATTTGAAAAAAGTTTCATTTAATTTGAAAAAGGATTCGCTTTGTTTGAAAATCGTTTCATTTAATTTGAAAAAAGTTTCATTTAATTTGAAAAAGGATTCGCTTTGTTTGAAAATCGTTTCATTTAATTTGAAAAAAGTTTCATTTAAACTGAAAATGCTATACATAACAAAACTACATGTTTAATGGTGAATGGCTTTTATGACAGATTATATATTGGAAAAGATTACTGGAAATTAAATGGTGCAACTATATTTATTTATTCATATAACAATTTATATGTACAGTATCGGTCATATCTATAGCACGTCATTTCAAAGTGAAATTGTTTGCCACTATTAATTATCTATTTGTTTTTAAGAATTTTCAATTAAAACATAGTTCATTCTCAGGCAAGCCCCATGTACAACCAAGTTTAACAATTGGTAGAAAACTACAAAAAAGCGCAACAAAATTTCTCCTAAATCTCAAACCTTTTTCTCGGAAGTTTTAGAATTTTTTCGAGTACACAGTTTTTTAGCCCCTTCAATTTTAGTCTGATAATGTGCAAATTTCAAGCGGCTACGAATTACCGTTGATTTAAAAAAATTTTTTTTTGTCACATTGGCTTCCATATAATGAATAAACTCAATTTATTTGTATATCGAAGAATCCCTAACACCTTTGGCGAAAAAAATTCTAAAAAATCAACGGTAACTTCTAGCCACTTGAAACTTGCACATTATCATAAAATTGATTGGGCTATAAAACTGTGTATTCAAAAAATTTCTAACACCTCGCAGAAAAAAGTTTGAAATTTGGGTGATAATTTGTTGCACTTTTTTGTAGTTTTCTACAAATTGTTAAACTTGGGTTTATATGGATTTTATTAGAGAAGGAACTGTATTTTAATTGAAAATTGTTAAAAATAAATAAATAAACATAAGGGGCACACAATATCACTTTGAAATGGCGTGCTATAGATATGACCGATACTGTATGTAAATAAGTTCGCGCTTGTTTATACAACAAATAGTTTTCAGATCCTCCCATTCTCTTAATGCCCATTCTTTAATGGGTTCGATTTCGGACAGTATGCTGGATAAACATAAGGATACTTCGTCACCTTTCGTAGACCTTTTTCTTCTTTAACCCATTAGCGAGTTGTTTGCGATATTGCCAGAAGTCGAAGTCATGCTTGGCTACTTCTTAATCTTCGGGGCTTATTGAAACATCTACCCCTATAATAGTTTTAAATTTTTGTATATCCCTACCATGAGCGTTGGCATTTTGCAGGTGCATCCTCAGTCAATAATTGTACCGTGAGCTGCGTATCCCCCTTGTCTTTGCAAAACCGCCTGCCTTGTGGGAGAGCAAAAAAAAACTTTTCTTTAAGGCCATTGACTTGATATTGGATATTTCTTTTAGCCGGTATCTGGAGTTCATGGCTACTGAATATAATTTTTGCACTATAGCGATTCAGGCGGTTTTGCAAAGGCATCGACGAGATGATTTATATTCAGTAAGAGGCGGCTGCTGTGGTGTAGTGGTTAGCAGTGCACGCTACCATTCCACAGTTCCTGGGTTCAAGCCCGGTTCAAACCAACATCAAAAAATAAAAAAACAAAAATGGCAAACTTCCGAGTGTACTTCTGATCTCTGAAATCTTTTATTACATTCTCTATTACTTAACCTGTAAAATTTCAGATATAATTGAAGTGTGAAGAAGATACTAATTCATTTCATCTTCAGTGCTATGAAACGTTCTTAACATACCCTTTTTACCCGCATTTAAAAAGAAAACTTAATGAAATGTGCGTATTTTTATATTTAAAAATTTTGAGTAATATTTCTAAATTTTAGTGCACCTTGGCTTATTTTTTGCTTTAAATTATAATACCTCACGTCCGAGTTGCAATTTTATCACTTTTTTTCGTAATAGCGTAAGCACCAAAAA